CAACGAGGGCGGCCTGCTGCGATCTGAGCTGATCTCAAGAAACTTTGCGGGCATCTGGGAGTCTGGCCGTGCATCCCTGTGCGGCAGCTGCGAAAACCTCAGGGTACACTCGGGGACAGCCTCCCAGAGAGCCGCAATGAAAATCCCAGCCTTGGTGAAGAAGGCGCTGGCGTCCTCCTGGGGCGCATCATCTGCCACTGCCAGCGCCAAATCGCGTGGCAGGGCGCCAGTCGAGGTCCACAGGTCCCTCAGCACGGCAAGGAATTCGGAGATTTGCTTACAGCCATCTCGTGTCAGAGGTCTTGATTCTACTGCCAAGCGGCAAGACCATGTAGACGGCTGTGAAAAGCAACAAGGCCCCTAGGCCGTTGGAACGTCGGGCCTTGTTACGAGCGAAGCCAGACTGAATCAAGAGTGCAAACCCCATCTGATTATCTCGTAAACAACCTGCTGAGTCGCCGACCATGGCTCTGAAAAGGAATTGCTGCAACTGTGGATGACTGGCTCGAACCCCAAAACCTGAAACTTGTGCGTTGAGGTACGACAGGCACTGCTCGATGGGCTCGATGTAGTTAAGCCTGTGAAATCTTGTGAAGCTGTTTTTTCTTGCTGCCTGGCAGGCATGCACATTAACTTTCGCACGGTAGTGCAAAGCCAGGCATCGGAGCTAGATGGAAGATTCCAGAATCTGTTGCAAGACTTCACCGAAGCTCGGATGCCCAGCAGCCTATCATTACGGGGTGAAACACAACGTCCTTTCTCAGAGACCGGGCTTGCGGTAGATGAATACGGGCCTTGGCTTCCGACCACCATGGGCCCTATAGTCAGAAAGGTGTTCTCTTCGACTTGCTTCCGAAGTTCGCATTCCCCGAGCCGACTGTCCGGTACACAACCTAGCAAGGGCCGTGTTCCAGCGGCTCAGGCGACCGGAAAGACTGAGCGCAGCACTTGCCGAACGAACTGCAGACCAAGGGGTCCATTTGGATCACCCAGCGGTCTGCCGATCGAGGCGATGCGTGTTCCTGGCTGTGTCCTGCCCAGGAGAGCATGCAGCGCGGCGCGTGCTTCTCGCATTCGAGTCTCAGCTTCACCCAATGGCCTCTCCAGGCCAGTCGTCACCCTTGCCACGTGGGAATCCTCTAAAGCCTCCCCGCTGACGAGGATGGTGCTCGCCTGGTTCTCAGCAATTTCGCTTCCAGCAATCTAGGAATCTAGGAAAGGTCTGGCTGCGTCTGGCTGTTGGGCCTGATGCCAGTCATTCTGCGAATCCAGAAGGTTGCCGTTGTGGAGCAACACCCGGCTCTGAACCTGCAACCAGCTGCAACCAGCTGCAACCAGCTGCAACCAGGAGCCAGTGGACACTGACCAACAGAACAGAGACCTCCGGGTCCATCTTCTCCACGGCCGTCACAGCAGCTTCATGGTGCACTGCACAGCGCTCGATTCCGCAGGCCATTCCTGAACAGCATCGTTGAAGCTCACTGTCCCCACGGCAAAGCTGCCCGCCTCGCGGCACGAGGAGAGCCCAGGCGGCCACCACCCGTGCAACACCGCTGCTCAAGTGCAACAGCCTGCGGCAGCCGGGCTAGTGCGGCTACTGGCAAAAGGCTACGACTGAGCTAAAGCATTTTGCGGGACTGGAACGGACTGCAAAGTCGGTCATCTTTTGCAGCTTTCGCAGCACACAACACATCACTTCCCGGATCGCGCAAGCATCCTGATGCCAACTACGAGCGGCACATCACAGTCACATCTTGTGACTGAAACACATGGCAATGAGCTGCGGTCAGCCAGGCAACGTTCCATGTGGTGAAAGCTTGGACCTCCTACATGCACCACCTCCCTCGAAAAAAAGGATACGTCTGCCTTGGTGAAGGCGTGCCGCTTCTTGACATTGCAAATTCTGTGTGAAAGAAGACCAAAAGCTGTGTCCGAGCTCTGCAACCGCTGCAGCTGCTCACTGTAAGCACGCAGAAACACCACAGAATCTCGCGGAAAATGCGGCCGCGGGCCTCCAGAAACATGAGCCAACGAAATCCACTTGTGAACATCACATGTCGTTCCATCAAGCGCCCTGAGAGGCCCCTGGCCACGGATGTAATTTCCTCGCCCAAATGACAATGACACTTTTGTCAGAAGGAATAAACACGATTGTGGACCATGAAGCCGAAATTTGATGATCTGATGGACTGTACTGGCTGCATCTTAGATATCTTAGTTCCATCCCCCCAATCACTGCCAACTCGAACTTTCGTTCCCTCATCTTACTGCCAAGACACGCGGCATAAAGGCGCGGGTATGGGCTGTCTGTCCTTGGAAAGGCCCATCTACCCCTCGGCCACCGTCCTGGTCCCACTTCGGGCAGCCAAGCCACCATTCTGTCGCGCATTCTGCGCCCTGCCTGTCAGGTCAGATTGGGGTTAACGGGGGGGTGCGCATTTAGACGCCAGATGAGCTACACGACCCCGGCCTCAGCTGGCACTTGCAGTGATGTGTGAACGTCTGCGCAGAGTAGATGAACTGCCTTCAAGAACATTAGCAACACGCTCAAAGTTATCCCATGAGCAGAAACTATGACCAAAGAACAAGTTCCTCCAAAACCTCGGCCCCAACTCCAACTAGTCTGAAAGGAAGGCTGAAAACGCCCAGAAGCATGTCGTCACACTGCTGGCTTCGTGGACCTTGAGGATTTGCTAGTAAGTCCGCATGCTGCGGCTGCTGCGGCTGCTGCGGCTGCAGCATGGCCACGATGGCAGGCTTGAAAAGAAATCCCAATCGCGGAAAGCTCGATGCGTTCGCAGCCGACAGGAGGGATTGCTTCTCGCTGACCTGCACCGAAGCCTGCCCGAAGTGCTTTGCAAACTCGCGTCCCGAGCCCCAATTCTCCTCCGGCTCCGCATCTCTACAGAGCATGCCCACAACATGGAAGCCTTCACCGTGGCTGCCATATTTCGAGGGTACGCAGAACTGGCCAGTTGCCACACTGAGCTGGTGACTCTTCATATCTGCAGACACCCGTGCGTCCCAAGCCCCATCCATCCAAACACGTCCACAAAGAGAGGATGTGCAGCAGCCCGAATCCAGAGGGAGAAGCGCACCACCACGATGGCAACCGCCGACGAAAGTGGCAGACATGATCGGATTTTGGCCCGCGGCATCACACGAGTCTTCCCTCGTCATCTCTATGATGAATCCAGACACATGCACCCGATTCGCATCATTGAACGGCGCCTTGCACCAGTACCGCCTTGCCACAAAAGGCAAAGTTGTGAGTACCAGGTCGGAGAGGGAGATCTGGAAGGGGAACAAGCTGCTTCGTGCGTCCGCGTCGGTGTCCGCGCACGGAAACTCTTCAAGGAGGAACAAATGAGTCAAAGGATGTCGCTCAAACACCTGACGCATATCTTGACGGATCAAGCCAGCCTGGAAAAAAAGAACTTCCGCAGTGATGCTCTCTCGCATGAGGTCGAGCCACATATTGACAGCCCTTGACTCCATGTCCCTAACTGAGCTAGTGTCATAGAGGCCTTGGTACGTGATGTGAAGGGGTCGTGAATCCGCCTCGTCGGCTTTAGCTGCATATTCCGAAAACAGCCTCTGAGCCCTGTCTAGCCAAGTTCTGCCCGACTCTCTCCTCGCACATCCTGCCACAACAGGTACCACCGACAAGCTGCCTGCAGGCAACCTGCCCGACAGGTCAAACTGCAGACTGGCTACGATGCGCGCATCCGCCCCAGCTTTGACCAAAAAAGTTGTTCCATTGTCACGACGCTTCAGCTTGCCGAAGGCAATGTAGTGATCATGGCCGCCCACGATGGCATCCAAGTGAAGCCCAGAATGCTCTACTGCCCTGAAAAGGTTCAGATCATTTCCAGTTCTCGTATGCGTCATAGCAACCCGCAGGCTGCATCCGAGTCGTTTGGCCTCCCACATGCGAAGAATGTCGACTGCAGCAGGAATGTCCCTCACAGAGCCATTGATTTTTTTGCCGGCCCAGTTCATTTTGTCGATATCAGTTGTGCCCAAGACACAGATCTTGATACCATCCTGCGCCAAAACTGCCCAACCTCGACCTGATGAGCTGCCAGGGATCTGGTGCAGTCGTCTCCAGATGCTCACGTCGTAGTCACCACTGCTCCCTTTCACCTGCAAGGAATTCAGCATTGGCTGCTGAATCTCCTTTCCCACATCCTCCTGCAGATTCGAGTTGAGATAATGAAACGCGGACTTTCCCATTTGTGCTCGCAAGTTTGGTAGCCCGAAGTCGATGTCGTGGTTTCCGATGTTAGCCAGATCAACACCCATCAGGTTCATCATCTCCACCAACTGAGAACCTCTAAATATCTCCGCAAGGTACGACGGTGCAATAAAATCTCCGGCAAACGTTCCTAGGACGACGTCCCCACGAAACGTTGCCTCCTCTTTGACCCAGCGAAACGTCGCCCCAAAGTCCACGAGGCCTCCGTAGTTCTGTGACTTGCTTTGTGCTCCTGGGAAGTTGGATGCACAGGGACCAGCCATGACATTCACACCTTTGATCTGTTGGGCGTGCGTGTGCTCCAGAAGGCTCAGCTTTTCTGCTTTGCCGAATCGTGCAGGAAAGCACGACTCCCAGGACAGACCCAGTCCGCATGAACTTAGGTCACCGACACAGTTTGTCCCGTCACATTCTGCCGCGGCAACGTCATCTAAGTAGTCCAAGTCTGCTTCGAGGTAGTAGTAAGTCAGGTCGCTGGTAAGTGGCACCAACTTGTACACGTCGTTTAGAGAGACCAGTGTAATTCGTTGCGCAGCGCCCAGCATGCAGATGCTCAGACGCGACAGATGCGACAAGGACCCTGCAGCCTTTGAGCGCATGCGTTTTCAGTGGTTCGCTGCGAAGCAGCTAATGTCTTCAGGCTTGGGCAAGAAAGGCTGAGGTGAAACGTAGCAGGTCGGCCAAGTATGGGTGCAGAGTGAAAGAACAGCCCTCTGGCCTCTCACCCGGCTCCGGCCCCAGACACGCAATGAGCGCAGCCATGGCCGGAAATGTCAGCTCCCTGGGCAAACCCCCCGTCTTTCCCACTCGATATTCAAAGCTTACTCTCATTCTCCGGGCTTCTGCACCTCACCGACGTGGCACACGGCCGTGGCGGTGGCGTGTTTGAAGAGGATGCAGGTGAACTGGCAAGGTGACATCCGTGGAGCCAAGAATTTGCTATTCTTGACCGGTGCCTCCACTCCCTAGTCAGCAGCGTGCCTGCAAGCTCTACACCAATCGCTGTAGACCTGCAATGGAACCTGATCTTATTCAAACCAAGTGTATCGAAAACTGATTACGCAGGCCCATCTGAATGAAAGGAGTTGAGCTTCCAGCGTTTTGAACCAATCGCCCAGCACATTGCAGACAACGCCCCTGTGCCCCGTGTGAGCACTGCACAACCTTCGGTCTTCAGAGCAAACAAACAACACAGCACTGAAACATCTCGATGTCGTAAGCCTGCCAATAATCATAAAAATGACAGCACCAAATTGCATGCAAGCAAGTTGCGTCGCTGAGCACAAAATGTGTCCTTAAGTCAGCACATGTCTCCTTGCTTTACCATCAAAGCTGCCGCGAAAGGAAAGACCGGGATTGCCCGCAGAACAAAGCATCAAGCACTGCCGATGTCAGATGGTCAGGTCCTGCATGCTGAAGTTACAGGTACGACAGCTACCAGCAGTTACGATCCGGTAAGTCAACCCTGCAGATCACTTTTTCTACTTTGGGGACTTGAGCCCAGGTCGGTTGCGTACAGAACAGTTAAAGGGCAACAAAAGTACAGTTGGAAGCACTGTAAAATCTACACCCCCCTCGTTGTGCAGCTCAAGCTAAGGCGGACAAGTCCCGGATAAACATACAGAGGCTCCAAGTTGTCTGGGCTTTCGAGCAAATCATACGATTCCAAAGCGAGCTTGTATACATGCACGTCCGACCACCGGAACGAGGCCCAGGTCTTCACCAGCTCAGCCCGGGCCCACACCTTCCAGCCCTCTGTGTAGACTAGCCGCTCCAATCCCACCAACATGTTGACTGGATGGGCGGGCCGTCCGAGGGTGGCACCACGATCTTGCTGTGCGCAACGCGTTGCTCCTCCGGGAACTCGGCGACCTTGTCCACCCAGGCGAAAGCTTTCATGATAGCGTCGGGCAAGGTGCGCCCGCAGGCTTGCGGTAGACGGCTTCCTGTAGTCATTCCTTCATAAGGAACATCTAGCTGGGGATCCTCAAGAACCGGATCCCCCTCCACACACCAGCAACGTCCCCTTCCACCTCAGCGGGGACCTCGGTCAGGACCTCGGTTAGCGAAAAGCCTTAGGGCTAATTAGCCTGTTCCCCCACTTTAAATTTGCCCCCCACTAGCTGTGGGGCTCTTCAGCACAGTGGCCACGGACATAGCAAGGTGCTCATGTTCTGCCATGTGCTGCCCAAGTAGCTCGAACACTTCGAATCGAGACTAGCGGAAACATCTGCGATGTGTTCCTAGCAAACACCTTCGATGTTTAACTAGCCGAAACACCTTCGATGTTTCACCTATCGCAAAAAAAACCCGCTGCACAGCTCTAAGTACCCCTAAACCCTCGTACTGTACAACTACTTAACTACTGTACTACTACTACACTACTACTGTACTACTGTACTACTGTACTACTACAGTACTACTACACCACCATTGTACTACTACTGTACTGCTGTACTGTACTACTGTACTACTCCTGTACTACTACTACTACTACTACTACTACTACTACTAAGCTGCTACTACTACTA